GCCCACACACACAGCAGCCCGTAAATGATGATTCCGTTTTCATAACTGTAGTCAAGGGCTTGACACATCCTGTGGGTTCTGTCTCTTTTTTTTTGTAGAAATAAATATGTTTTTATGGGATCTAAGAAACCTCGGCCAGTTCATGTCACCATGCTCTGTTTTAGACTGTCCCATTTTAGAGGACAGTGACAATGTATTGTGTAATTTATATGAACAAATATTCATTCAGATGTGGCTAATTCTTATTAAGCACTTTCATGATTTAAAACTGGATGATTTAAAGGAAGAATATTTACTGAGAATTCAGATAGATTTTTTAAAAATTGTAGATGTAAAAGCAACCTGCTGTTAGGCTAGCCTCCTACTCCCGGCTTTGGGCAGTGCTCGTGTGTATGTCATGACTCACCTCTTCTTATTACAGCTATTACCATAATGGTCATTGGTTTTTATAATTCCCTTTCAGTTCATTATTTTTGATGTGCACAATATCACATATATTTGGATGAAAACAGCGTACTTGTTTTCAATTAAATAAGGATTGGCATATGATAATCTTTGGAATTATTTACATGACTCCAGAGGTAGGGATGGACTTTTGCAAAATTATTTGGCTGCAATCGACACGGTTGTTCAGACTCTTTGCTGGGAAGAGAAATCATGGTGGTTGTAACATACCCCAGCCAGGAGGGTTGATTCTTCACATTCACCAGGCTGTTAGCATTAGAGAAACACAGTTTGACTCTAATCAGAAAAAGCTTAAAATGTAAAAGGTGTCATTACCGACTCACCACTAGTCACATATGCAGAACCTGGGATCAAGAAGGTGTTACTTCCCTCAGAGCCAAGGCTGATGGTTCCAGTTGGAAGGTACCTCTAATGGTGGAGCCATCGGCCCATGGATTGGCGTACAACCATTTACTTGGGGAGTGGAACAAGACCGGTTGAAAAATTAGGTAATCAAAGGTAGATAAATAAGACCACGAGAAGTGTGGGCGAGCTAGCCCAGTGGCTCAGTTCCCTTTTCTCCCTAAAGATACCGCGGGGATTTGATGAATAAGGACTCACAGCCCATCACCTGCGTGTCTGTGCAATGCTCTCTTCTGAAACAGCTGGAGTTTGATGTGACAGTCAGAGGAGAAGTTGCTGCCTCAGGAAATGCTTTGCCTTTGACGGATTGCTGAATGGGTGGCAAATTAATTTTGGCACCTTTCCCTAAGTCGTTTTGTTCCCATTCCTTCATTTTTCTGCTGGGAAGTACGTATTCCCATTACAGTTTAAAAAAAAAAATACGTTGACAACACAAATGTGGAGAACAGCATGTCCTATTTTCGGAAAGAGGCTGTAGGCTGGGATGGTTCCATTTTGTAGAACAGCAATGATGCCGTCATGCTCTGAGAGAGGCCCGGACTCTCCTCTCAGCTCGATTCATAATCAGTATTACTTCTCGCTGACCTCTCACAAAGCCATCAGCTCCAGGGTTTAGAATTTTGAGTCCTTTAGGAGCATCTGTTCTGATATTTCCCCTTGAGTACTTATATACAGCCAACCCTCCTGCCCCGACCCCCAAATCCTAGCACCTCTACTTCCCTATATATTCACATTGTCATCTCTAGCAAGAGGTATGCGTTATGGGTGGTGGTTAAGAGCATGAACTGAATCCTGTTTGTACTGCTAATTGGCTTTGTGACCTTCAGTGGGCTATTTAAACTCTCTGTGCCTCAGTTTTGTCATCTGCTAAAGGGGAATCATAGTGACAATAACTTGCTCCACCCTCTCTAGGTGTCTTTGTACACTATCGTTTTCTCTGTGTTAAGTACAAGTGTTTTAAACTCAATGTATTTTTTACACTTATTTTTCCTTTCCGAAGAATGCATGTCATAACTGCTGACAAAGATAAGAGGAATGTGCACCTTTGGTTTTTGCTTTTTGTTTACAATAAGTCAGAGATGTCATGCTTGAGACATGGAAAGGTAAACCTTAACCTTAATAAGAAGTGATCATCAAAGCCTTTGCCTTGGGATGAAGGCTGAGATTCTGCTGTTTTGGTTTGTGACACTAGTGTCATCAGTTTGGGTGCTTGCTTCCTGACTCCCCTGATGGGTCTGGCCTGTTTTTGTTGTTCTATCACAACTTGTCATTCCTGCCCTTAGGATTGAAGTCTCAGTAGTAATTAATTACTGTGTCTTCTGCTCTTGTGTTGTACATATGGGTTTTTAAAAACATTTAATTGTGGTAAAATACAATAACATAAAATTTACCACCTTAACCATTTTTAAGTGGTTTTTGGTGGTCTTTTTGTGGAGCATTTATCAGAAATCTGAAAAACATGTTGAGTTATCTGTATGGAAATAGTTTTAAAGACGTGGAAACCTTGAAGGGTTATGACAATACATTTCAACTCCTCAGCATTTATTCAGTCGGTTCAGTGTGACCATATCTAGCCTTGTAGATCCAGCTTGAGAATGTGCATATGGATGTGGAAGAGGCATTTTGCTATCTAGAAAAGTTTCAGTACATTTTTTCCAGCTTTTTGTCTTTCAGTCCTCAAGCATTTCAAATTAGCCACAAGGGCAAACTTGCAGAAAAAGGAATGTGGAAAAAATCAGTAAAAGTTAGATATATCTGGTCAGATATATATCTTAGCCAGATAGATCTGGTGCTTTTCTCAGCAAAGAGAAAAATACGGGAAAATAAATACCAGTTTAAATAGGATTTAATTAGTAATTAGAACTGTAAGTAATCAGTAAGTAATTCTAAGATACAGAATATGCTCAATAAGTATTTGCTGAATGAATAAATCAATGAAACAAACAATTTTTGCTAAGTTCAAGACAAACATGAATAATATTGTTATCCTATAAAGAATCTGTTTCTACTTATTTAAAAAGTTTAGTGATTAACCTACAATAAAACCTGGTCTAACGAGTAGTTCCATTAGGACATAGACGCAAGAAAATACCAACCATAACTAAAAGAAGCATATTAAAACCACGTTAGTTGAGGAATACCACCAGCAATCAGAAATAATTGAGCTAAAGTTTCATATTTTCATTATTTTTGAAAATCCATTGTAATATTTAAATGAGCAACATAAGGAACACATTATGAAAGGAATGTCTCTGCTAAAAGAATCGGTTCAATTCTTCTACTTCACAAGTACTATTTGCCCATAAAGCTCTACTATGAAGACATAATTGGCAATTCCTCATTTGGTATCCTCCTTACAAATAAAACAAATTATGATAATATAATGCCCCAAATATTCCATATTTCAAATTATTTACTAACACAGACTAGGCTTTCTTCAAATTACTTAGAATTAATGACCTTTGCTTACAAAGTCAAGCCTATCTTTTATTTGAAAAAAGTAGTTGAAATCTTATGATTTGAGGAAATTAAAAAGTTCATGCTTAGCTAAACACATTGCAGTTAATTTTTAAAATCATACAGTTTAGCAGTAGAAATGGTTGAGTGCCTGTTTTTTATTTTTTTTAAGACCCCACTCTGGGGAAGACCAATTTGTAGGTAAACAACCCATGCCCAGCAGCATTGCATAGCTAATGTCTAATATGTGGGAGTAGGTTAGAAGCAGCTCAAACTAATGAGGTTAACCCACATAATCTAATCACTCAGACTGAGTATAAAGCAGACAAATAGCACAGAATCAGTCAGGGAGCACTCAATTTATTTCTAAATGATTTTTGGTATTTCTATTCCAGAGTGTCGCCAAGTAGATGGTAGGTGTGCATGTCCCACTGCTTCCTAGCCTCTCTGGCATTGCATTTCCCCAGTTTAGTGACTATTGGGCCATAGGAAAGATGCCTTTTAATTCAGCATCAGCATAAGATGAGCCACTTCCTGTTGTCTGGGAAGCCCCCTTTCATCCCCCGCCTTTAATCAACCTCCAGTGGAGATGAACATGGGAGGCAGCTGCTTACAGATACCCAAGGGTTGCACAACTGGCCTGCCTGCCATGGGACTCTGTGAGATCCTCAAGCTCCCAGAGGGGCTAAGCATTCTGGTTCTTCACCTTATAATTTTTAAAGATTGACTCCAAGGTAAAATCCTTCCAGAAATGCCTAGCCTGAAGAGGGTCCTTAGGAAAACCAGTTGAACTTGATTAATTAGGAAAAAAACCCCAAAGCATTTTGATGAAAATTGGATTAAGACTACTTTGAAACCACATTTTACTTTTTGTGATATTCAAGGTGGGTTTCAAAAAATCTTTTTTTTTTCCAAAGTAGAAATGGATGTGTCATTTCATTGTAATATACATATACTCATTGTAAAAGACTTTATTCAGACAACACAGAAATCTATAGGGAAAAATTGTCATTCTACATCTCAGATATAACAACTGTTAATGTTTTGATATAAAGCTTTCTAGATTTTTCTGTGGCTTTACAAACATTCAGATACTGATACAATATTTTTTAAAAAGCAGGACCAGACTATACATACTATTTATTAATATGTGTTTTTACATAATTTCTATATGAACAGATATACATTTTCATCATAATTTTCAATTCTTCCCTTTATTCCATTGTGTAAAGGCACCGTTTATGGTTATTCCCAATTTTCCATGAGTAGAAAGGATGTTCTTATACATATGTCTTTATATACTTGTCTTCTTGTTTCTTTGCTCTGAATACTTACAATGGAATTGTCTAAAGAGTATTATAAATTTTGATAACAATTGTAAAATTAATCTCCAAAATAATTTACCTGCCCACCAATATCATGGTGAGTGCCAATGACTCCACACCCTTGGAAATCATACAGGGTTAAAGAGAAGTGGTGCTTCAGAGGTATTTATGGCCTATGAACTCAGGGTCATGGAGAGCCCCCTGTGGGTGATGTGGTTGTGTTCCCGGTTGCTGAGGTTCACCGTCACATAGCCAGTGCATTCACTTGTTTGAGAGATGTTAGAACTCAAGTTTTCCTTTTATAGCCTACTGTCGTACCTTAAACCCTCCTCTTTGGTTCTTCTCTTTTAGATTGAGGAAGACACGTGGCAAAAATACTACTTGGAAGGAGTCTCCAATGAAATGTACACAGAATATCTCTCCAGTGCCTTCGTGGGTCTGTCCTTCCCTACTGTTTGTGAGTAAGTGACCATCAACCATATGCTTTTTGGCTCTCAGAGATATTTACTGCACCTTTAGCAGGAAAGACACCCCACCTCTGCCCAGCAGACTTGGGACACTCGACAGTTACCGAGGGTGTCCTGTGTGCTCAGCCTTGTGTGATGAACGGGAAAGTGGGTCATTACATGGTCCCTGCCTTAGGCATTTCTGCTGGACCTGCGTTTTCTTTCAGTCCTGAGCATCTCAGGCTTGGATCCATCATTTGTACTAAATTATGAACTGCAGTTTTCCTGCATGTCTTGAATTATTCCCCTGTGATGTAGACACATTTATGAAGGGAGGCATGAACCCGTGTCTCTCTGGTTTTACCAGGGCAGAAACAAATCTTCCTAGCCCTTTGATGAAAGGAATTTTGATCTCTCTTTCAAATAATTCAGATCATACAGACATCAGAGAAGCCACTGTTCAAAGTGTGTCCGCGATTTGTTGAGGAAATGCAGAACCACATGTATCTGAAGGAGGCCTTGAAAAAGTCCTTAGCCATTTAGCCCTCAAGTGGACAACTGCCATGTTATAATAATAAGAAAGCTTAGCTTCTCCTGATATTGGCTTAGCAGGATACATTTGAGCAAGGGCAGCCCTGTCCCTCGAGGTAGAATGGGTGGTCACCTGACAGGTATGAGCTCAGGAGCCCTGGCCCCTAAGTCCTCCCACCATGACGATGCCTCAGACTCTTCACTTAGAATCTCAGATGTTGGGTTTAAGTCAAACAAGGGTGTTGTTACTTGTGAAACACAAACTCCCAGGGAATGCTGAGACATTCGGTCTGACCCATTGACACCTTAGCAAAGGATTTGATAAACTGGGTCTTACTGACAAAAACTGGGAAGAAAGAGTGGAACCTGGGAACCCATTGGGCTGAGGCAGAAAAGCTGTTCCCTTGAGCCATCTGCCCACACACCAAAACAACCTTCTGGAAAGGGAGGTCTGAGGACAGTTCTGGGGCTCTTGGGTTCCCCTGTCTCATAGTTTTCTGTTCTGTGCACAGCAGAGAGGGGCTGGAGCGCCTGGTAGCTTGGGGCTTACCTGGCGACGTCTGTCAGTGAACACAGCAGGTGCACTCTGTCTCTCCCTGGGCCCAGACCCCAAGCAATCCAAAATGGTTTGACTGTTTACTGAAATTTCTCACCCTGTCTCTAAGTGAAAGTTTAAATGCTAAATGGACTGGAAAAGTGAATAGGTAATTGATTCGGAAAGAGTTATTTTCTGAAAATGGATGCCCTCTTGTAACTCCCTTATGTTCCTGTCTTTGAAAGCTATTTCTCTCTCTGCCACAGAAAGAAGTTAACTATTCAGAGGCGTTGGGTCTTGAAACACTGAGGCTGTCCCTGGGGATTTTCTCCACCTTGGAGCGTGGCCTGCCTAGGATAGAAAGCCCAGGAGAACTCTGGGCTTACAATAGAAGCCGGTTCTATAAAAAGGCAGTTGAGGCCTCCTATATCTAATGAAGGGGTGGTATGGGCACACCGCGGACCTGCCAGTGCCTGGAGGGGTCCTATGGCATTGCGGACATTAGCAAGGAGTGTTCAAAGCCCCCTTCCTTGGTTGTTGGTTTTCCCTAGTTTGACTGGTGCTTGTATCTAACACATGTGCTCCCTTGAAAGCGTGCTTCCCCACTGCTTCTTTTATTCTGCTCCTGGGAACCAAATTGGTTCATAAGGCTGTTATGTTAACTTGTAGGGTTAGGACTGCTTTCCCTAGAAGCTGCAGCTGGGATGCCCAGAGTGTAAATCTGACTCACAGATTTGCCCTCTGTAGTATTTGATTTCTTAAAAGTTAGTTGCCAGCATTTCAAAATTGTGGTATTTCCCATAAAAACTAGAGTTCTGACCTTTCTTGAAAATCTGATGAGCCAACACTGGACCTGCATTTCTACTGAATGCAGACTGACCCCAGGTTGCTCTGAGGTGGTGATTAGTGTACGCCTTCCCTCCCTGATGCCTGACACCATGCCAGGTCTGCATTTCTATCCCAGGCTGCCCCCTGCACTGGTCAGCCTACCAACTGTGACCCATTGGGTGGTGTGAGGCTTCACTACCCATCCGAGCCAGCTCGAGAGCTGGACACTAGTGGCTGCTGTAAATATTTCCCTTGATTGAGTTTCGTGGTTAGAACATGTCCCAAGGAGAAGCAAATCCCTCAGGCACATCTTGTTGTCTGAGAATTTAGCATTTGTTCGGTACAGCTTCTGGAATACAATCAAACAACAACAGAAAATTCTGATGTGAATGAGAATGCGTTCAACTTAGTGCTTTATTCGTTTAACACAATGATGCAGCAGAGGTAGAAATCATCAATAAAGCAAGGACATTTAATGAGATTTAGGGACATCCCCAAACATTGAAGCTCTCCTCAAGCATTTGATTATCTGGAGGCTTAATTATCTGTGTTTTCTACTTTAAATTAAAGAAAAGCCATAACTCAAAGTTACCAGCAGTTTAATGATAACACTCTTCAATTCAGGTTAATTAAAGCACAGCCGTAATTAGAGTGTAGTGTTGTATATCACCAGGCTGGCACATAAGTATTTTCATTACAGTAAGAATTGGCTATTCAATTTCAAGATGACATAAAGGATGCCAAAATATATTTTAAGCTGGTTCATGTAGACAAAAAAGAATTGGGGAATATTCTGGGTGTAATAAAGCACAGATAAAATATACAGATTTGCAGAGCAGTTTCTGTAATTATGCACTACATTAAAACAATATGCAGCCCATAACATCTCATTGCATGAAAAGAAATAAATTTGCTCTACCCCTGGGCTGGCAGAATGGCCCCTTGCAGGGTGGGATCATGCACCAGAGAGCTTGGAGTTTTCTTAGAAGCTGGGAAAGTCATTCTGTGACAAGACGAGGGGGCAGGATAAATAGGTAAAATTTGAGGTCTTTTCCCAAGAGAACAGAATGGGGGAGGGAGAGAGGCAGGAGGGGAAAAAGCCCCCGTGCCCAAGGCAAGCTTTTCAAAAATTGCAGGCAGAGATATGCCCTCTCTTGCCCAACGGACGTGCACACCAGCTATGTATTTTGACCTCCTTGCACCAGCATTTTGGCTTCATCGCCTATCTCACCAGAAGATGTTTTGTTCCAAAAACAGTAGCTAATTTAGATAAAATGAAGCATTTCTAAATATTTTGTTTACATTTTCTTATTTAAGCCTCACAGCAATTCTGTGATGTTTGGATTGATATCACTGTCCCTGGTTTACAAATGAGGACAATGAGGCTCAGAGGATGTTGGTGCCTCTTCCCAAGCCGCCTAGCAGATAAATTACAGAACCAGTATCCACGCTGGGGCCTCTGCAATTGGGATTGGCGTGGAGTAGCTGCTAGCTGAAGTCTGGCTAATTAAGCATCTCCTGGGGAGCTTATTAAATGGAGAGGTTTCTCAGCTACATCTCCAGATTTTAATACTTGGGGTAAGGTCCCCAAAGCTGCATTTTCTACAAGTCAGGTGACTATCAACCCCATTCCTTCACAATGCTGGCTGGTGTACCCTCTTCTTATTCCTCACTTTGGGCACAGACACTGGAATATTTCTCTCTGGTTTTAGCCAAATCATAGAATCATGGATGGGCCACATCTTGAGAGCTGGTGTTAGGATTTGGATCTTCGGGTGAGCTTTTCTGCCATCATTCCTTCTCCATGTAGGGTATTCTGCAATCTTTGGGGATCTAGAAAGGAAATTGCACTCGAGCACGCTGGGCAAACCACTGACTGCTCTCCCCATATAGGAAGAAGACATGGGGTACTGAGCCATTTAATGCTCTTGGTTATATTTCCATCATGGGATCCACCAGGGATCATGAAAGCAATGTCAGGCTGGGGAGGACAGATAAGCACTCGGTGCAGAGACGCAGGGCAGAAACAAGGAAGTTCAGGATCAGCCCTCCGACGTCTTGGCTTTGGTAGAAGTCATGGTGGGTGTGTCCTGGGCCTTCCCCAGGATGCCCTTAGGGTGTTTTTTCAGGGCCAGCAACTCCTGAGCTTTTGCCCTTGGTTTTGCATAGCTGGCTTGCCCCTGGGTCTGTGTGGCTGTAAGATCAAGGCAAAGGAGCTTTGGGATCTGAAGGAGAGGGTGCCATCCACTGTTCTCTGAACACCAGCACACCGCCTGCCTCCTTTCCCTCCCACTCGCGCCTTCCTCAGCTGGTGACCATGGAGGGTGCAGATGGCTAGCGCCAAGCCTGCAGGAAGTGAGGAGCTGGGGTATGAGGCCATGTTTGCCACTAAAAAGCATCTTGTTTTTGAGGGATTCCCATAATAAGATGCTGAGTGATGTAATGGCATCTGAGCTATGGAATCACAAAGGCCAGGGCTCAAACCCCTGGATATGTGATTTGGGACACAATTTTTGGTTTCTGCGCACCTCCTCCCTTTGATAATTACCAGCTGCCTGACCTTGGACTTGGAGCTTCCCCCAAGTTTCTTCATCTCTGAAATAGGAATGCCATTACTTATCTCTCAGAACTAGCTAATGTCCTTTTCCCCCCTCTCTCACCTCTTCTCTTCCTATGACCCCTCTATCCTGCCTCATCAAATACAGAGTAAGCACCGAGAAAGGAAGAACTACACTGTGGCATTTTCAGGTTACATTTACTCCTCTTACCCTTTAGAAGATTTACCCTTTAGCCTTTGGTCAATTGAGTAGATATTTAATGAATGCAGGATATTTGTGCCAGGGTGCCATCTCTAGAGGTACCTGTAATTAGAGTTGCTCAAATATATAGGCACAGTAAAAGATGAATAAGAATACCTGTAAATGCCAAGTAAAGGATTCTGTGTCCCCACAGCAGCTGCCTTCTGAGAGTTTCCAGTCTGGCTAAGGAAAATATGCCCATCCTCAGGGAGGCCTAAGCACCTGTTGACAGGTATTTGATAGATGCAAACACCGAGGACAGATACTGAGCATTCCAGGGAGAGAGAGATTCCTGTAGGCTGGGGGTGACCAGGAGAGACTTC